GCAATCTTGGTTGTGGATGGAGAGAGCTTCATTCAAAAACAACTGGAGGGCTATAGACTATGGAAGGGGAGTGCTGACACAGAGAAGGACTAGAATTAGGAAAGTGTGAATCGGTTTTAATACCTGCCTGACTTTTGGAGATCCCGTTGATTTGGGAAATGTTTGCAAAAGAGTTTGCTTAGTTTCCTTTCCAGGTCTTTTTTTCCCCATTTTGGAATCATCCTGTTGAGTCATATAGCTGTTATGTGTCGCCTGAGTAAATAGCCTGTTATCCTTGTGGACCTTGGATAGATTTCTTTTTTAAACAAGGAATTTTTTTTTCATTTTCTACCCTTGGCTCCACCACTACCCTCAGTTATTGTTTACAGAAATACTTCAACATGCCTACTCTAGCCATTTTGCCATGTTCATACTACAATTCAGAAAAGACTTCAAGGATCACTGAAATATTACCAGGGCTAGGCATATTCATGCATCAGTGGTATTGCTGTGCAAACAGGAAAACTGGCAGATAATTTGGGATTCTGCGCCAAACCTGACCAAAGACATCCTGCAAGAAAAACAGTTATCCCTGACCCTAAAAAAGCTGTTTTGTAATACAGGAAATTGATACACTGACAGAGAGCTACGAAGGAGGAAAGGAAACTTGAAGAAATTACTTTCTTAAACTACTATGCTTAGAATCTCCTAAATTTTTTAATTTGTCATCCCCCCCAAAAAAAAAAATCTTTCCAAGTTCTGGTTGGAGAAGATCATAAATTATACTTGAAATGTAAACATTTGACTGAGAAGGAACCATGTGCTCCACCTTCCAAGATGTCCCAGTTATGAAACCACAATAAGCAAAAGTCTCTCTCAGTGGAAAGGTCAGGATGTCAATACAATACACAACGCCCTCTCTTGCATATAGGATAATATTTCAGACCCCCACTTTCATGGGGGTTAAGGGTGCAGGGCTCCTACAAAAGTGCAAAAACAGAACACCTTTCTGAGATTCTCAGCAGAACTCTCAACCACCTCTTCTCCAGGCTAAACACACCCAATGCCTCAGCTGCTCCTCATAGAGTTTGGCTTCTAAAGATCCAGCTTGTCAATATTCTTTGTGATGGAAGTTTTTAGGCACAAGCATCACATTTCTTTAAATTGAGATTTTTGTCAAGCTGGAACACCAAGTCCTTATAAACAGAGGTATGTTTGGCTTGGAGGAGAGAAGGTTGTAAGGTGGCGTAATAGCCATCTTGAAATATCTGATTGGATGTCATGTAGAAAATGGAATAAACTTGTTTTCTGTATCTCCAGAGATTAGAACCAATTGCTAGAAAAGAATTCCATCTGAACATTAGAAAAAAAAACCTTGATGATAAGAGTGGAATGTGTTGCCTTGAAGTGTACTGGACTGTCCTTCATTGGACGTTGATTTTGATGGCTATCTTTCAGAATTGCTTTAGCTGGTTATTAGGGGAGAAGATTGAACTAGATGGCTCTTGGTCCTTCTAACTCGATGATTTTTGTTGATCTTTAAGAATCCTTCCACCTTTATGATTATTCTAGTCTTACTTTCAATGTTGAATTTATTTTTCTGTACCTGCTGAATTTGTTAGGTCACCTCTAACATGTCTGTGTCTTTCTGTCAGTGATTAAAATGGGAAGCCAAGTCAAACTTCTTCTCACAATATCCTGAAGTCATGGGGTTATCTCCCTGAAACATATACCACTGCAGGGTTTGTTTGCCTAATAGCTTAAGTAATATATTAAGGCACTGGTGCTTTATCTACATTTTTTTTAGGTTTAACATAATAAACAAAACCAATTCAATGCCTGATTGGATAAACTGATTATGGTCATGTGTTTTCTGGCCATCCAACTAAAAGCTAGGATTTCTAAATGTGATTCCAGTATGTGCTTTGATCTTCCTAATGAAAAATTAAGGGCTTAACACATTGCCATGGGCTCTGATGATGCAGAGAAAATTGATTTTGAAATGAATAATAGCCTTTCACAGGTAGGGGAGTTGTTCGTGCACTTGCTGCTGCGTTTCATGTGGGATTGTTGGTGGCATCTGTCGGCTTGCTAATTAAACTGGATGTCTTGGCGTTGAAGAATATAGCTTTCAAAGGTGTCAAAAAGAAAATAAAGAGAGAATAACAGACAAAATCCAACAAATCTGAGAAGAGCTGCAATGAAAATGTTCCACAATGAAGTCCTCCTGAACAAGTTAGAATAGGATCAGTGCTTGGTTATGAACTATGATTTGTTGTCTTCACTTGCGTTCAAAAACATAAACTATCCAAATGGCGAGTATTTCTCTTGATCTTAGGAAGTTGTTTCTTGATTTAAGCCGGCTGATATCCGAACAGAGGATGGCCCGGAGATGTCATTACCTTGGTCCTTTCATTATTGGCTGCTACTTCCTGATGGAGGTCAGGTGGTGCAATACCAGCTAAGCATTATAATTTCTTCAGTGGTGTGGGATGTAAACATCCTGAGATAATGTGGCATGTCTCATTAAGAGCCACAGCCACTGTTTTAACGTGGTGTGATGTATTTCAAACTGGGCATGCATATTCAGCAGCAGAGTACCAAAGCACAAGGGCAGATGGCTTCATTGTAACTAGTTGTGATCCCCAGATTCACAACCAGAAGCAACTTGTAGTTTGCACGGTGAAGTGGAAGAGATGAGTGCGAGTGTGAGAAATGAACATATCCAATTTCCCATCCTTGGTGATGTTTTACATAAAAGGGACTGACTATCTTATCACTGTCTTTAGGAGAATGACTTATGACGTTTTAGAAATGGTTGCTCCATCCTTACACCACCAAACTTCATTTTCTAATAAGGCTAAACTGCTTTTCAGGCATCGTAACTCCCTAACCCTTTCTTTTACAATTCCGAAAGTACTCTCTGGTAACACCTCAACCATGTATGTGTTTTCCATACAGGGTTGTTGTAGGTTTTTGGTCTGTATGGCCATGTTCTAGAAACATATTCTCCTGCTATTTCACCTGCATCTATGGCAGGCATCCTCAGAGGTTGTGAGGTCTGAGCCCAAAAAACCTATAACAACCCAATGATTCTGGCCATGAAAGCCTTCAACAATACATTGTTTTCCATACAATTTGTACACCTACCAAAACAATGGAGAATGAAGGGGAAATGAGTCACATCTCTCACTACCAAAGCATTCATTTATATCAGAGCAGCTGCACCTAACTTTCTAAAAAAGTTAGGTTTGTTACTTAGTCAACCCTCTGAATACATAAATTTTGCATCCACAGATTCACAGTGATAAAATACTGTAATTACTCCGTTCTAATGCTCAGCTTTTTTGACTAAATTACCTTTCCAAAATTAGGGTGCACATTAGATTTGTGTAATATGGCAAATTCTTTTTTGGGGTTTCTGAGATTTGAAAATTAAAGTGCACATTAGATTCAGTGGTCCATTAGACTCGAGTAAATATAGTATTACCAAAAAAGTTCTGAAAAGCAAGCCTTCATTTTGTCTTATTAAATATAAGGGATGCCATTTTACAACACCATTGTATATGATGGGACTTGAGCATCCATGGATTTTGGCATCCACAAAAGGTCCTGGAACCAAACACCAGCATAAAGCAAGGGCCCGTTGTACTACTCTTTCCACAATAGTGCTCCACAAGGAGAGAGATAAGCACATCCTCTCTTCTTCCCTCTCTCTTTATCCTTCTATTTATATTCATTCAAAACAAATCCCTGAGCCTGCTTGTTTGCAACTTATCAAATATCAGCTCATCCTATAAGACAGTGGTTCTCAACCTTTTTTGACCACTAAAGGGACCACTTTGACCAGGGACCACTCTCCAACATTAGTAGCAAAAGGGTTACGAATTAGTATTTGGTCAGTTTTAGATTTGGTTTGGTTATTTGAAGTGCTGATTCAGAAAATTGCATTGGATAGACCACATCAGCTCTAGTTTCTGATACAGAACATATGCCATCCAGCAGTCACCATCTGCTCACCCACAGAAAACCATATTTAATAGGCCTCGGCACTATAAGAGGGTTTTGCGAGACCAGTCACTCTCATTGCAACAGTGTAGTAATGGTGAAGCCGTGGACCATATTTTAGTTCTTGTTTACCACTGGTGGTCCACAGATCACAGGTTAGGAACCACTGCTATAAGGTGAAAAAGACCTACAAGATCTAAAAGATCTCTCCCATATACCTACGAAATGATCCTGGGAAGGGAGTGGCACTGAAATAAGGACTTCCCATATAGCTAGCCTTTATATCTTTATAACTCGTTCCTTTCTATTAGAAATTATTATTATTATTAACTTTATTTGTACCCTGCTAGCATCTCCCGAAGGACTCGATACGGCTTACAAAGGCCAAGGCCTCAAAAACATAGCATAACAATTCACAACTCAAAGCAAATCAAAATTAAAGCAATATCAAAAACAACAGAACAATAAAAACAACACACCAAACACAATAAAACTGGGCCGGACCAAATGTAATGGGTACAGATTAAAAGTGCTGATGTGACAGGTTGTATGTCGGATTTTAGGGTAAGTGCAGTGAATTAATTTCATTTTGAATTAATTGTGGACTTAATATTTTTTGGCTTCTTATCCCAAATTTTGTCACAGAATATTACTAATTGAGAGGATATGGAAAAAGCTAGGTAGAGATTGCTGGCAGTGAGTAAATAACAAGAAAGGAGATTCCATCTGAACATTAGGAAGAACTTCCTGACTGTGAAACCTGTTCAGCAGTGGAACTCTCTGCCCTGGAGTGTGGTGAAGGCTCCTTCTTTGGACGCCTTGAAACAGAGGCTGGATGGCCATCTGTCAGGGGTGCTTTGAATGCAATATTCCTGCTTCTTGGCAGAATGGGGTTGGACTGGATGGCCCATGAGGTCTCTTCCAACTCTATGATTCTATGATTTTAGGAAACAATGAAATGGTCCAGCAATGATCATACTATTCATATTCATTTTCTCCTTCTTCTTTTCCAGCTCGCTGCCTTAGAGAGACAAGTTTTTGATTTCCTGGGATACCAATGGGCTCCAATTCTTGCCAATTTCCTCCACATCATCATTGTTATCCTCGGCCTCTTTGGTACAATCCAGTACAGGCCACGCTACATCGTGGTGGTAAGTAGCAAAGGTTTTGGTCACCAGTCCTGAGACTGTAGTCCCATACTTCGTTGTAGTGTTGTCCCTTATTTGAGGGCCAGAAAGAGAACTATTTCCCGGTTGTCATTTCTGGGTGTCAGTCATTCCCACTGTCCCTTACTATTATTGTGAAAACCTTACATTATAAGTCTACCTCTGACTAAACAAAACAACCTGTTTCTGAGAATAATTCAAAAATTCTGTTTTTGAATGTTTGGGAGATGCAGAATCCAAAATTATGCCAAATCCTGGACTGAAACGTGTCTCTCCATGAACCCTTATCTCCCCTTCAGTGTACCTTGTGCGTGTACTCTGTGTGTGTGCATGCATATAATAAACCTTTAACTAAGAGCGGGGAAGCTCAGATTATGGACAAATTTTCCTTTCATCTGCCACTTCTGACAGAGCATGCATAATTTATTTTAATCAGACTGTTTCACTTTATTACACAGGCTTTTGGGTATAAATTAAATTACTATGTTTTTAATAGTACAAGCGCCCGGTGCGCTAATTGCCAGACAACAGTGCTATGCCCTGTGTTAATGTCTTCTATTAAGTTAACCAGTCATGCTGCACTATCGTTGGTTGCCTTTGCCTCCTGTAAAGAACGCTGGAATCTCCATGGCATTGCTGCGCCCCATAGAGAGGTGATGGTGGTTGTAATTTGATTGATCAGTCAGGACACAATATTCTGATCCACCAGTACCATTGTAATCTAATGGTTTTAACCTGGTAGATCAGTTTAATTGCAATACAGAGCTAGGATAAATTGCTTTTTTGAACTCCCAAGTCTCCTATTCAGTGTGGCATTGGCTGTGCTGGCTGGTGATGAGGATTCTGTAGGTCATAAACTATACAATCAAGCAGTGTGCGTTCCATTGAAATGAATAGGTTCCTTTTCCTGACCACAGTCATAGAATTATAGAGTTGGAAGAGACCTCATGGATCATCCAGTCCAACCCCCTGCCAAGAAGCAGGAAAAATGCATTCAAAGCACCCCCTACAGATGGCCATCCAGCCTCTGTTTAAAAGTTTCCAAAGAAGGAGCCTCCACCACACTCAGGGGCAGAGAGTTCCACTGCTGAACGGCTCTCACAGTCAGGAAGTTCTTCCTCATGTTCAGATGTAATCTCCTTTCTTGTAGTTTAAAGCCATTGTTCTGTGTCCTAGTCTCCAGGGCAGCAGAAAACAAGCTTGCTCCATCCTCCCTATGACTTCCTCTCACATACTTATACATGGCTATCGTGTCGCCCCTTAACCTTCTCTTCTGCAGGCTAAACATACCCAGCTCTTTAAGCTGCTCGTCATAGGGCTTGTTCTCCAGACCCTTGATCATTTTAGTTGCCCTCCTCTGGACACATTCCAGCTTATCAACATCTCCCTTCAATTGCGGTGCCCAGAATTGGACACAGTATTCCAGATGTGGTCCGTCTGACCAAGGCAGAAAAGAGGAGTAGCATGACTTCTCTGGATCTAGACACTATGCTCCTGTTGATGCAGGACAAAATCCCATTGGCATTTTTTGCTGCCGCATCACATTGTTGGCTCATGTTTAACTTGTTGTCCATGAAGACTCCAAGACTCCAAGATCTTTTTCAGACGTACTGCTCTCGAGACAGGCATCGTCCCCCATTCTGTATCTTTGCATTTCATTTTTTTTCTGCCTAAGTGGAGTATCTTGCATTTGTCACTGTTGAACTTCATTTTGCTAGTTTTGGCCCATCTCTCTAATCTGTTAAGATCCCTTTGAATTCTACTCCTGTCCTCTGGAGTATTGGTTCTCTCTCCCAGTCCCTGTAGTGTGTTTGCTGTAGAGTTCTCATTGATCCTTGGAGCTAAAGTTCGCCTCTCAGTGAATTGTCCTGATTTCATCTACCTGTTGTATTGACCTTTCTTTGGCCAAGATCCAGTTCAGTGTTTGTCATAGAGTTCCTGCAGCATTAGTTGTCTCTGCGTAGTGGGATTGTGTTCAGGCACCCACTCAGTCCCCAGTTAGCATCCCACCCAGACAATTGTATCATCCACGCTCTAAAGACTGATGAGACCCACTGTGCAGGGAAGTCTTTGTATAAACATGGAAAATATTCGACAACTATTGCAAAGTGTGCATTTTGCCAGCCTTGGATCCAGGCCTTTGAAATCTGGCCACAGATGCTCCTGAGTCCTGGAAATCGCTGCAGCTTCTGTGCCTGGCTGATTATTAATATGAACTCTTTCTTTCCTGCACGCTCTCCCATCCAAGTCTGGCTTTATTGCTGCCAGCTACTGAATGAGGAAGACAAATGCTCATTGACAAGCCCTGCCGCTTAAGTAATAAACTCCATCCAGCTGTCTAGGATATTGGCAAGAGAGGATTCTCTGGCCAGGCTTTTTCCAGGAGGTTGCTTGTCAAGCGTAGAGCTTCCCTCGGAGGCCAAGGAAACACATCGGCGGCATCACCCCTTGGGCCTGTAGTGGAAAGATAGCCTGTGACAGCTACCCATCCTTCTGTGTATCTAGGTATCTGCATGAGTGTGTATGTCAGGGAGACATTAATAGGTATGGCCTGGCAGTTCATTATAAAGTGTCAGGAGTCATTTTGCTTCTTTTGAAGTCCCTGGGATACCTGGCACTCACAGCCAAAGGCATTTCTGGTTCCACTGGTGGGTCTCCACTCAACTACAAACAGCCTTGGGCAGTTCCCCATCTAGACTTTGTCTATGGATGAAAGAATTTGGAAGGAAGTGTTTACACAAATGAGGTTCTGTTGCACAAATAAAAGACAGAAGCATGAGTGGATCATGGGCCAAATGGTGGCCCCTTTCCTCCACTTCACTCAATAGGCAACTGTTACCCAAGCAAAATAGCTGTGATATCATCCATGCAAGTAGGAACAGCATGGTTGATTGTTTTAAAAGTAACTACTAAAAGTAACTAAAAGTGTAATTTTTTCAATTGGATGTTGTTGTTCAATCGTTTCCAACTCTTCATGACCTCATGGACCACCCACATCAGAGCTCTCAGTCAGCCATCACCATCCCCAGCTCCTTCAAGGTCAATCCAGTCACTTCAAGGATGCCATCCATCCATCTTGTCCTTGGTCAGCCCCTCTTCCTTTTTTCTTCCATTTTCCCCAGCATCATTGTCTTCTCTAAGCTTTCCTTTCTTCTCATGATGTGGCCAAAGTACTACAAAGTACTACTATCCTTCCCTCCAATGAGCAGTCGGGCTTTATTTCCTGGAGGATGGACTGGTTGGATCTTCTCGCAGTCCAAGGCACTCTCAGAACTTTCCTCCAACACCACAGTTCAAAAGCATCTCTCTTCCTTTGCTCAGCCTTCCCTATGGTCCAGCTCTCACATTCGTAGGCTTTTGGAGAATAGTGCAGTGCAATAACAGATTTGGAATATGTGCAAAGACTATGGAACGGCTTGGACTATGATTATAGAGGGCATGATTTTAATATTGAATGTAATATATTTAAATAATTAATAAGCTTTAATTTTAATTTCATTTTAATCTTAATGTTATTGGAATTGTATGTGTTTTAAGGCCTTGAATAAATGCCTATATGTAAGCCACCTTGAGTCCCATTTGGGGTAGAGAAAGGTGGGGTAAATAAAATAAATAAATAAACAAACAAATATTAAAAGCCACCACACTTCAAGGACATGTCCCTCTACTCTAACATTTCAGAGGCCAAAGGAGTCTTTAAATGGAAAGGTCTTTGCTTGCCATCAAAAGGAGTTTTGTTGCTGACATCTTTCAGATACCATTTGTGACACCAGACTTGTGTTGCCTTTGTATGCTCTGCTCCTCTCCAATGTTGCTCCCTTCTTTTTCCTTTCTGTCCCCTTGCCCTGCCCCCTCTTTCCTCCAGTATGCCATCTGGACGGCCATCTGGGTCACCTGGAACATCTTCATCATCTGCTTTTATTTGGAGGCTGGCGGCCTTTCAAAGGTGAGTGAGGCTGAAGTCCGAACAACCAGAAACGATCACGGATATGGAGCAGTGGAGCGGGTGGCACGAGGTGGAGAAGAGCAGATTAGAAAAGGGCTCAAGGGGAGGATGCAAAGCGGGCCTGATTTCACACATCAAAGTATAGCCTGGGAGAACCTGGTAAGACAAAATGCAGCCTGCGCACTTTGAGATTAGGGATAGAAAGAAAAGGGGGCGGGGAGGTGGGGAGAAGGGGATTAAATTACTCTTCCATAAACTGAATCCAATTCAGTGCTTTAATACCTCTCCAAAAAGAGGCTATCAATCACGTTGGGCTTGGTAGTGCGATTTTGGTGGGAAATTGTTTAACTCTTGCATTGTAGGCGTGTCCATGGGGGGTTTTTTTTGGGGAGGGGGGATTGCATGTCCTTTAAACTCTCCACTTCCTATTTTTTGAACAAACAAGCAAACATCAGATTATAACAGAAAGCCTTTATTAACATGCCAAGCCCATTGCAACATTCCACATTTAAAGCAGGGGTTTTCCAGATTGCAATCTGTTACTACTGTATTTACTGGTGTATAAAACTACTTTTTAACCCAGGAAAATCTTCTCAAAAAGTCGGGGCTTGTCTTATATGCCATGTGTCATTTTATAGGGTGGGTGCTGAAACTTCTGAACCAAACTGGAGAATCTGCGGTCACCAAATATGGTGGGAAAAGCTCAAAAATGGCCATGGCTGCATCTCTGCTGTATGCAGCAACTATATGAAAGCAGCAAGGGTGGTACTGTACGAGTATTATAGTATGCTTATTTGTGGAAATAAGTAACTTAATGTGGTCCCAGTGATGAGGTGACAGGGAAGATGTACATGAAGGATGGAGCAAGCTGCAGACGTCTGGGATGCCCAGGGTATGAAAAAAAAGAGATAGAGCAGCGCTGTGGCCAGAAAAACATGCCTCTTTCACCCATCTGGCCCACCCTTGTATCCTATTACCATACCTCCTTCTCTGCCTCTCCTGCGAACTGCAGTGAAGCAGCGCAGGCACACATGTGCGAGATCTGAGAGGCAGAGAAGAAGGTATGGTAATAGGAAAATTACCATATTGAAATCAAATCTGATTTTTTTTTATTTGGTGTGCATTGGAAGAGGAGTGGTCTTATATGGCAAGTATATCCCAAGCTCTATATTTTAACTGGAAAAGTTGGGGGTCATATTTTATTTATTTATTTATTTATTTACTTTATTTGTATACCGCTGTTCTCAGCCCTTAGGCGACTCAGTCGTCTTATATGCCAGAAAGTACTGTACGTTCTATTGTTTGTTATGTGTCAGAAATGACTTGAGAGCAGTAAGAAGTACAATCCCCCCAAAATGGAATATATCTGATTGGAATAAAAGAAGTATCCAGGGTTACTACCTCTCAGGGCTTGGACCATCTTCTCCCAGTCCTCGGGAGGAGGACTCTCAGGGCAAGAGTGTGGCCTTGAAATTTTGTGGATGTATTTTCTTCATGTGTTAGACTTGACATTTTATAGCTATTCTGTGCAACTATAGTTGATGCCTAATGTATTAGGTTTAGTGACATTGGGTTGTTGCTTTTGCTGCATTTGTTGTAGTTTTTCGGGCTATATGGCCATGTTCTAGAAGCATTCTCTCCTGACATTTCGCCTGCATCTATGACAATCATCCTCAGAGGTTGTGTGGTTTAGTGACATTGGCTGGAATTCACAAGGGAAGTTATGATTGCATAAAAAGGTAAAGGTAGTCCCCTGACATTAAGTCCAGTCATGTCTGATTCTGGGGTGGTGCTCATCTCCATTTCTAAGCCGAAGAGCTCATGATTGCATAGAGTTACACATTTGTGATTGGCTTGTTATCACAATTTCTATGGATTGTTTAGGGATTGTGAATGTCTGCCAGTGCTTGCTTACTGGACATCAGTCTCTATGAGTTCCAGGGATCTATTCCTCAGATGATCAGAAAGCAGCTGGCTATTTTTTTCATCCATCCTTTCACAAGTAATCTCTGTGTGAGTGGAGACTCTGCTTTTGGCTGCCACACCAGAGAATCCTGAAATGAAGGAGTGGAAACCTCTGTTGCACACAATGGCTCATGCCCAGTTTATTAAGATAGGAATGAGAAAGGCTGAGAGACACTACTTAAGTAAGTGATACCGAATTCCAGCCATTATCTAACGCTGTTTATTATAATATCCTTCCACAAGGCCTGATCCCTGTAACATCAAGGTTCCATAGTTTGGCCCAGAAATCCCAGGTCCTGGATTAGTCCTTACCTGACAGCCCACTATACACTTGTTGAATGGATGCTGCCCTGTATATAAATACTCTAAGCTTAGATCTGCAGACGCCTAAAGCTTTGATTGTCTATTTCTGCATGGGGAGGTGACAGGTGTGTGTGTGTGTGTGAACTGAATGGCCCTTCTGGTCTCTTCCAAGGCTATGATTCTAAGGACCTTACCACACTGGGATATAATCCATTTATATCCGTATGTATCCCATATTTTTAAAGGACTGGATGCATACTGTATTGAGATGGGATGCATAATCTCCCATCAATAGGAGCATAGTGTCTAGATCTAGGGAAGTCATGCTACCCCTCTATTCTGCCTTGGTTAGACCACACCTGGAATATTGTGTCCAATTCTGGGCACCACAATTCAAGAGAGATATTGACAAGCTGGAATGTGTCCAGAGGAGGGCGACTAAAATGATCAAGGGTTTGGAGAACAAGCCCTATGAAGAGCAGCTTAAAGAGCTGGGCACGTTTAACCTGAAGAAGAGAAGGCTGAGAGGAGATATGATAGCCATGTATAAGTCACAGGAAGTCACAGGGAGGAGGGAGCAAGCTTGTTCTCTGCTTCCCTGGAGACTAGGACACGGAACAATGGCTTCAAACTACAAGAAAGCAGATTCCATCTGAACATGAGGAAGAACTTCCTGACTGTGAGAGCCGTTCAGCAGTGGAACTCTCTGCCCCGGAGTGTGGTGGAGGTTCCTTCTTTGGAAGCTTTTAAACAGAGGCTGGATGGCCATCTGTCAGGGGTGCTTTGAATGCAATATTCCTGCTTCTTGGCAGGGGGTTGGACTGGATGGCCCATGAGGTCTCTTCCAACTCTTTGATTCTATGATCACTCCTGATTTTTACAATTCTTATGATTTGAAAATACTATTCTTTGACTCATCACACCACGGAAGGCTGGCTCCTCCCAATCCATTCAAAACATCATCATCCCGTGACCTTTTAAAAAGTATTGTTGCTGATGGGATGCATACATATTCTCCCATCACACACAAAAGCAGAGCTTCTGCAATGGAAGAGTCCATAGTATTTCAAAAAAACACAACAATCCATTTCTTGGACACTTTGCATACAGATCCCAATGGAATACTGGCAGGAATCAGACAAACATCATGTGATGGGACCCGTTCAAAATCATTCTCAAACAGTACATACATTAAGAGCTCTTTTTGAGGGAGAAAGCAACATTCCTGGTAAAGAGTTCTCCCCTACGTCCCCTAACCCTCATCACAAAATCCACATTTAATTCAGAACAATATATCTCAGCTAATCTGTCTATGTCAGTAGCTGTTTAATTTATAGTGACAAAATGCAAAGAAGTGCAATGAAGTAGAAAGAATGGAGTTAGTGAACTTGGCAGCTGGTGGTAATGGCTGCCCTTTTGTGTTTAGACAGGTGATAACTCAGGTGGGGGGAAGTATGTGTATGCATGTGGAGGGAGGGGATGGATTTCAATCCATTTAACTGGTTTCACAAATGTTGACTGTTGTAAGGATGGAGAAAAGATACTCCCTAATTGCTTGCCCAAGATTAGGGAAAGTCATATCCAAATTTTCCTGATGGTGGGTGTTTTCATGATTGGATTGGACATCATTGCTCCTCCCTTGTAAGTCAAGACCAGCAGTTAAGATCTGAGAAGATGAATTTTGTATTTGGACAACAAATCTGCCTCCATTGAATGCATAGAGGAAGGCAGTGGGCTACTCACACCTTGGCAATTTCAGACATATATGGTGTATGTGTTGTCTCCATCTATTTCTGGTATACATACATAAGATATGGAAATCTAGAACAAGAGGTTCTTCTAAAAATTACAATATAGATTGTTGTTCATTCGTTCAGTCATCTCTGACTCTTCGTGACCTCATGGACCAGCCCACACCAGAGCTCCCTGTTGGCCGTCACCACCCCCAGCTCCTTTAAGGTCAATCCAGTCACTTCAAGGATGCCGTCCATCCATCTTGCCCTTGGTCGGCCCCTCTTCCTTTTGCCTTCCACTTTCCCCAGCATAATTGTCTTCTCTAGGCTTTGCTGTCTCCTCATGATGTGGCCAAAGTACTTCAACTTTGTCTCTAGTATCCTTCCCTCCAGTGAGCAGTCGGGCTTGATTTCCTGGAGGATGGACTGGTTGGATCTTCTCGCAGTCCAAGGCACTCTCAGAACTTTCCTCCAACACCACAGCTCAAAAGCATCGATCTTCCTTCGCTCAGCCTTCCCTAAGGTCCAGCTCTCACATCCGTAGGTGACTACAGGGAATACCATGGCTTTGACTAGGCGGATCTTCGTTGCCAGTGTGATGTCTCTACTCTTTACTATTTTATCGAGGCTGTCACCTGCATATGTGAGGTTGTTAATGTTTCTTCCAGCAATTTTCACCCCAGCTTTGCATTCATCAAGCCCCTCATGGGCCATCCAGTCCAACCCCCTAGCAGGAAGCAGGAATATTGCATTCAAAGCACCCCTGACAGATGGCCATCCAGCCTCTGTTTAAAAGCTTCCAAAGGAGGAGCCTCTACCACACTCTGGGCAGAGAGTTCCGCTGCTGAATGGCTCTCACAGTCAGGAGACTCAAAGTGGCTTAGCATAAAAGCATTTGCATACAACCTAAAATATACCAATATGCAAACATTAAAACAGAATTAAATATAAACAGTTTTTTTTAAAAATCACTGTTGAAATCCATTACGAATCCCTCTT